GTTTCTGCCCATGGAGTTTTCTTGGCAAAGATCCTGGAGTGGCTTGCCAGTTCCTGCTCCAGATGGATCGCATTTAGTCAGAAGTCTCGACTATGACCTGTCCGTCTTGGGTGTCCCTGAACAGCATAGCCCATAGCTTCTCTGAATTACTCAAGCCCCTTTGCCACGACAAGGCAGCAAACTGTGAAGGGGATTACCCATGTATATACCCCTGTAAATGATACTTAAAACTGGGCATAAAGTTATAGTTTTATATTAAAGGTTTACTTTTTAATTAGCTGAGAATTTTTGTATCCCATTGCTTGCATAGCTTCCATGATGTTTAATATTTGCCAGTGTTCAAGCTCATCTGCTACAAGTATAGCAGTTTCAATTAACCTGAAAGAAAAACAAATAAATAATTCACTTCTACAGTAAGTCATTTGTACAGTGAGCAGAATTATGAATATCATTCATTTCGGGGGGGGGGAGGCAAGAGAAGGAAGTGTGCTAGGAACAATGGGAACAGAAAGGGAAGGGTATAACTATATTTTAAGGCCACAGTTGTTCTGTCCTAGAGCACTTGTGCAATTTCCCACCACACAAGCTCTTGTCCCTTGTCCATGCTTGAACAAAGAGGCATCTCAAACTTCATACAAGACTGGGAACCAGTCAGGAGGTTGTGCAAAGCAAATGCCAGGAAGCACAATGCAGTGGACGCTCTGCAAATCAGGTGCTAGTCAAGAGTCCCTGCACAAGTCCATCTTCTCCACCAGCTGCTTCCAGCTTCCACCAGATGACTCTTCCCCTCCCTTTCACTAAGATCTTATGGAACTCTACTACAGAATACAATCTTGGCCTTTATAATTACACTGTACTATGTGTGGCTTCCTGGCTTTTGACTTAATTAAGATTAAGTATGTGGAGCTCCAGAAATTTTCTATCTATCTGTCTGTCTGTCCATCTGTTCATATGTCTAACAATATTTAGTTATTTATTACTTGGTAATCTAACAGTTATCTATTTTTATTATTATTTTATTATTTTTATTTAGTTATCTATTCCACTAGGGCTGTGCGTGAGACTAGGCAAAAAGGGAGGCAAAAGGGGCAGACAGCATATCCCGGACATGTTCCTGTGATTAAAAGGGGTTTCATTTGAAAGCATAATTCCAGTTGTTTCTATGGGCAAGAGTTATGTTTGCCTCTCACGTTTTAGACAAAGCTAACAGCATTGGGATCCCTATGTCACAGTGAGCGCAGGAAGACATCAACATGAACCAAATCATTTAGTACAAGAGATGTTCTTGGAACAAGAAATTATTTGACAACATAGTCCTAGATCAACTACCTTTATCAACAGCTGTATGCTGAGATACTACTGAATTTACAATACTGTAAGATGCTCAGTCAGTTCAAACAGATAAAGGAAATAGGGCATCAGCACCATCTATTTTGGTTCTGTGCTACTGTCTAGATCCCCAGAGCCATGGGGAGCTCTTGAACATCTTCATCAGGGCCTTGTTATTTCTCCATGCAGCTCTTGAATGACCTTCAGGCTTCTCAAGGAGGTTTGGGGGCAAGAGAATGCAGCTTGCATGTGTACTTTAGAGCAGTGGTTCTTAACGTGGGCAATAATGCCCCCAGGGGGCGATTTCATTCTTCAGGGAGTAGGTAGAACGAAAAGGGGCGGTGTGGGGGTGAAAGAACAGAAGGGGGCGGTTTGGAGCAACCAAACCTGTGAAGGCGACGGCAGCCGCAGTGCTGGCAGTAGATCTGGTGCTACTGCTGCCTCCAGATGATCCAGCTTTTTCTACCTGCCACATCTCACCTTTCTCCTTTAGGGGAGCACTGAGTGTGGATCGGGTGGAAGGAAAGGGTCTCTTGGGTATTCATCCTCATCTTGTGAAGTGTTGCCTCACACCCAGGTGGGGAGGGAGACAAGGTAGGGTCTCTTGGGTCTTCATCCTCATCTTGTGAAGTGCTGCCTCACGCCCAGGTGGGGAGGGAGACAAGGTAGGTA